GGACCTGGGATTTTATATCATATATATATAGTTACAACGCATTAGCGTATATAATGCATATATAGATATATAGAATATATATATACAGTATTTAAATGTTCGTATCTAAATATAATCATACATATATATATATATCCTAATGCGGTGGCGCACCTGCCAGACGACCTAGGACCGGACCTGGGATTCTATATCATATATATATAGTGTTGCAACGCATTCGCGTATATAATGCATATATAGATATATAGAATATATATATACAGTATTTAAATGTTCGTATCTAAATATAATCATGCATATATATATATCCTAATGCGGTGGCGCACCTGCCAGACGACCTAGGACCGGACCTGGGATTCTATATCATATATATATAGTTGCAACGCATTCGCGTATATAATGCGTATATAGATATATAGAATATATATATATATATACAATATTTACATGTTCGTATCTAAATATAATCATACATATATATATATCCTACTGCGGTGGCGCACCTGCCAGACGACCTAGGACCGGACCTGGGATTCTATATCATATATACATATATAGATGCAACGCATTCGCGTATATAATGCGTATGTAGATATATAGAATATATATATATATATATATACAGTATTTACATGTTCGTATGGAAATATAATCATACATATATATATATATATATCCTACTGCGGTGGCGCACCTGCCAGACGACCCAGGACCGGACCTGGGATTCTATATCATATATATATATAGTTGCAACGCATTCGCGTATATAATGCGTATATAGATATATAGAAATATATATATAGAGTATTTACATGTTCGTATGGAAATATAATCATACATATATATATATCCTACTGCGGTGGCGCACCTGCCAGACGACCTAGGACCGGACCTGGGAACATCTATACATATATACATATAAATATGATCATATTTGTAAAATAGAGTATATACAGAGAATGTAGATCTATGTGGACGAAAACCAAAATAGTATATATACATATATATAACCTATTGCGATGGCACACCTGCCGGACGTCCTGGAACCGGACCTTGGATGATAATCATAATATGTATAAACATATATATGTAACATATGTATTCATTTATCCAGGTTCAAAGAGGTAAAAATGCCTTATTTCCATTCCCTGTTCATCATCAAGAAGATCTGTGTGGCGGATTTGCCTTTTTTCGGCTGGCTGTTCTCAATTTTCCCTAAGGTCGTCCATTTCGACGCAATGAATTGGCAATGGAGCGATAATCGTTTTGCATGAAGCGTGAAAGCTCCGAAAAACGACTGTGGTCAAACGGTCTTTGTCCCCAGCATCCACGCTGTCCTCCTTCGGACACCCACCATCTCGAGCAGTACAGGGTTAGTTCACCCTTTCTATTTCCTGACTGCAGCAAGTGTGGTCTCATCGCATGCTTGCAGTGACTAAATGGGCAACGGCCCCACTTACATGCCTGATCCAGACGAACTCTGAGACTTGGAGGAGGAGGTGGCTCTGCCGCCGCAGCAGTGTTGTCATCTTCGTCTTCCTCCTGAGAATAAGAAGCAACACCTGAGCACCAACCAGAATGTTCGCGGGTCAAGCAAGGCTCTGTTCTAGACCTCGGACGCTGTGGTCTTGACGTAAATGCTCCCTCAAAAACTCCACGTGGCCACGACGGCTGCTGCCTGGGACCAAGAAAAGGAGATCTGGATCTGTCTCCGCGGCTTGACGAAGACTGCGCGGGAAGCTCTTCTCCTGGAGAAGTAGCAGCAACACATTCCACCATGTCAGGCTGCACATCTTCGAGATCCAAAGCTTCCAGCCAAGAATCCAGAGATTCATCTGTCCATTTGAACGACCTGAACAAGAAGTCAGCCCACAAAGGCACAGCGGGCTCAAAGACACCTGCACGGCAAGTCCATGTCTGCGTATTCCATGCCTGCCAGTATGTTTTTAATTTTTCACGAATCTCATTCTTGTCCACGTTTTCCACCAAAGGTACTTCCACCACACTGCCCGGTGGCGGTCTCAAAGACCCAGACCGCCAACGGCGCCATCGCATCGGAGACTCTGGAGTATCCGAACTGGAATCCACATCGATGATCGGCTGCAGGCGTTGCACTTCAGGACTGTCAAGCACCTATCAGCAGTTAGACACCGTGAAAAAAAAAAATATCCAACTGTTCGAAAACAGTGGCTACGGGGGTGACGAAAAAAGAAGACTGAATCGCACGAAAGGCACCAAGGTCGGTCTTGTGGTCCGCGGAGGCGTCAGATCCGACATCAACGGCTACGATTCGACTCGTTAGTTAAAAATGACACTTGCCAGATACACTTTGTTGCAAAACATTGCATCATGCTACAGCGTAGAAATCCATGAGTTTGTTCCTGAATTATCATCGTTTCAAACATAAATATATTGCATGAATTTAATCGATCTTTTGTCACAAACAATGAGATGAGTCATGTATGACATGAGAACAACCTCTACCCTTGGGAGCCCATGTTGTTAGCGCAACAAAAGAGTCATGGATCCGATGAAGGGCAAACCAGTTGGTATGAAATTCTGAACTTTTGAATGTCAACATCACAGGCTTTACTTGACTTACTTGAACATAGAAACAAAAAAGGCGTTGGCATGGTATCAAATACTTACTTGAACGTTGCAGCGTAGCATCAAGAGCGGCTGGCATGTTACAAGAGACATGTTGCAGCGTAGCATCAAGAGCGTCTGGCATGTTACAGCGTACCCCTTGCCCCCCCCCCACCTCCCCCACCCCACCCGGTTCCCCAAAAAAAATCACATCATCCTTCGTGCACAAATTCTAACTAACGGGCAATACTTCTAACTAACGGGCCATACTTCTAACTAACGGGCAATACTTCTAACTAACGGGCCCAAAAAATTCTAACTAACGGGCCCATCTTCTAACTACGGGTGCACAAATTCTAACTAACGGGCAATACTTCTAACTAACGGGCCATACTTCTAACTAACGGGCAATACTTCTAACTAACGGGCACAGCAAAAAGTGTCATATTCCCCAGGGCCGGTAGGGGCGTCGTGAGCAAAAACAACATACAGAACTGGGCACTGTGATTATTGCAGACTTCCTTGGTGGTTCATGCTATGAATCGTAAGTGAGTTATGCCCCCCATCGAGCGTTTGGGAATCACCAGAGGACGACATATTCCCCACCTATCCGAACCACAACCCCCCCCAAACGTTCAATGTTTTCATGTCACCTGAAGTGTGTCCCAATGGACGATTCAGAAATCATAGCCCATTCCCATCACTTTGGGAAATCGCACTGAAACATTGAGATTGGGGGGGGTCAACATAGTGTGTGTTGCAGGGAATATGTTGTCCATCTACTGGCATCCCGTAGAATTGTGACTTTTATCATTGGCGCAATTTTCGTTGGTTAGGCGAACCCGCGGAACTGGCCAGTAAAACTCAAAGTCTTTGTTGGCTAGAGAAAGGAGGGTATTTTTTTGTGATTTCTTTTTTGTTTTCCAGCCTGGGGTAGCTTCCCTTGCTATTTGCTGCATTTTGGAGCTAGCATCTCTGATTTGTGTGCTATTTACTGCATTTTTGAGCTAAAGTCTCCCATTTTGCATGCCCACTTGGCTTTGGCTTTTGGCTTTTGGCTTCACATAGCACTTGGCTTTTGTTGGCTTTTGTCACCTTTGTGTGGCTTTTTGGCTTTGGTTTCACTTGGCTTTTGGTTTCACTTGGCTTTGGTTTTTGGCTTACGTGTTTTTTTCCCCTATACGCACTTCTGTTGAATGTATGTGTAGTATTGTAGTTTGCATCTAACATTTCATAATTTCATGTAATACGTTGCATGTAAACAGAGATTACATGTAAACGTTGCTACACTGCTGATGCCGCAGTTGATGCCACCATTTGGTGATGTCATGACTCCCATGTGGCAGATGTTGGGGGACTCACTTGACACTTCAAGTCGGGAACTGCCACGTTGGGAGCCATACGTGAAAGCCCAAGGAGCCAGGGTTCTAGAGTACAATTGCGCATCAGGGTTTTTCTTTCTTTCTTTCACTCGGTGAGAATAGGTCTTGCCATTCTGCTATGACCATCGAAGAAATTGATATACGCCATCAAAAAAATCGAAAAACATGAACAAATCTCTGAAACCATGGAAATCATTGAAGACCACCAAGAAATCGATGAAAACCATCCAGACATCGTTGAAAACAATGGACAAATTGGTGAAAACCAAAAAGCTGCAAATAGGCAAATTTTCGATTTTAGTTCCGAAATGCCGCAAATATCATGCAAATGAGAGATTTTAGCTGCAAAATGCCGCAAATAGCACGCACATGACAGACTTTAGCTCCAAAATGCAGCAGATAGCTTGCAAATCAGATTTTTAAACTCAAAATGCGACAGCTAACAAGGAACACTACCCTAGACTGCAAAACAAAATGTAGAAAAAAACCGCCCAAAAACCACCAAAAAATTGGTTTTGTCGCTTCAATCCCAATTTCTAGTGGATAGAATCCAAGTGTTGTACTGCTAGAACAACGAGACTTTCAGTCCATTTTTTCCCCTTCCATCCCCAATATTTTATGCAAATTGTTGCAGCTGGAAAATTCCATTTTTCGTTTTTTTTTCATGGCTTACAGGGTTTGTTGGAAAAACCACCGTTGATAATTGATTTCCCAGTTGTACACTTGCATTTGCAAGGGTTTGATTTCCCACTTATATACCCATTATATATCCTGTTCTTGCTGGTTAAATCCTCCATTGAAATCCACTAATCCATATTGATCCAGCTAGCCATGGAGCTGATGACCTGAGGCGAAGTCCGTAATTATCTTCCCATGATACATCCGCTATATTCCCATTTTCCCTAGTAATTTCCTCGTTTTTTTGATGGGTATCCTCCACTTCCGTTGCGATGATTGGAGGCTCGGTGACGTCAGCGCAACAGCCAGGACCTGAAGAGCCAGCAGCACCTGAGCGAAGCGTCGAAGCGGGCCATGTCCATCGATTACTGCCGAGAACAAGGTGCCAGGGCTGGGACCCGGGGATGACATCCAGCGGTGGCTGATACCGAGAACCCGGTAGGACAGCCTCGAAGTTTTCATTTTGATTTGCATTGATTGCAATTTGTTTGATTGCCAGAGGCTATATTTTGATTTTTTGGCAAAATATAGGTTTAAACAAAAAGGTGGGAAACTGGGAAATGAGGGAGGAAACATCATCGAAGTGACATCCTGGAAAGATTATTTGATCCTTTTTGGGGACTCCTATAGTAAAATCGAGGGAATCACAGAGTCATAGTTTTTTCTTTATTTTTTTCCCATAGTAATTTTCTTAGGTATGTTTAGACAATACTATTATTTTGTCAATTTGAGAATGACTTGGTGAGGCATTACTTGGATGCGCATCCCAAGCATGGTAAGTGGGTAATTAGTGACTAGGAATAACCCTTGGAAAAAAACATTGATAGCATCCATCAAACACACATCTAGAGCATACATCATTTATATCCCCATATCCGCCCTCTTCTTGATGGTTAGATCCGCAAAAACCAGAACTTTGTTGGTTTGGGTCCAATCGTATTTTTATTGGTTGATATTTCTTAGCAAATGTTATGAAAATGCATCATGGTTATATATATGTATATATATATATTACACCTTTGTTTCCCCATTGTAGCCCCATAACTTTGCCGGTCAAATCCCTCATAGTTATGTTGGCCTCCATGGTATTCCAATCGTTGTCGCTTCCCCACGATCGTTGCTTTGATGCCTTCACTTTTGTTGATTAGATCACGTGTAATTATTATTTTTTGATTCACCTGGTAAATCCATAGTCTGCCAATTGAAGAACAATCATTTCCCCATAATGGATGGTTTATCCCCATTTTTGTTGGCTATAGTCACCATATACGTTGATGAAACAATTTTTTGGGAGTTGTGATTTGTTAAACCAGCCAGCCTTTTTGTTGGATTTCCTATTTTTCGTGTTTAAACCCAATTTTTCATGGCAACCAGCCCCATTTTTGTTGGTTAACGGTTACCCTCTGGTAATTTAACAGTTTGCTATTGAAAATGGACCATAGAAATACTTGATTTACCTATTAAAAATGGTGATTTTCCATACTTTTTTCTATGTTTACCAGGCCGGGTAACCCCTATAAACCCTTAACTGGTTGGTGGTTTGGAACATGAATTTTATTTTTCCATATATGGGGAATAATCATCCTAACTGACTTTCATATTTTTCAGAGAGGTTGAAACCACCAACCAGATTACTATTCACCATCATTAACCATATAATAACCATATAATATTAACCATATATTAACAGTATATTAACGTTAACGAAGCACCGCGGTTTTCTCGCTGGTCCCCGGTAAGGGGCGCCTTCGCCGGTCCGGTGCAGGGAGCAATGCAGTGATGCGGTGGTTGCGTGGAACGCCCATCGATGTGAACTACGACTTCCGACGCTGGCGGAAGCACCAGGCCTGGTTGGCTCAAGACAAATGCAACAGATTTGATATTTATAGTATATGATACACTACATATAATATAACTATAAAATTACAATATTGCACATATATATATATATTATATTATATTATAGAAAAAATATTGTACGATGTACAAACATTATATAATAGTTTGATGAGGGTGGTTGGGATATATATATGATTAATAACTATATTCCCTACAACTATAGGTCCATTTATGGTTACAGACGTATATAGACTGCTGAAACCCTGAGATATCTCCACTCCCCGGCAAGGTGGCCACTCGACATTTGTTGCTGTGGACGCCGCGGAATGCGATGAGGTGTCGCAGGAGATTCATCAAGCGGAAATGTCGATGTATCAACTACAATATATATATATACATATAATAATAAATATATATATATGTATTATATTCATTGACTTTGGACTTTGGGTATGTTCAGTCATTTGGATATACAAAAAAGTAATATACCAAATGACTAAACACACCATGATCATATACATATATATATACATTATATTCATTTGGGTGCGTCTGAACATGGTGTTTATGATCAACAAAAGAAAACCATTTGAAAAACGGGATTTTGGGATGCCCAATTTTCAGGTCGAAGCTCATGTCATGGAAGGATTTCGTCCGTGATTTCGTTACTCAAAAATGGAGTCATTGGATGATCATTGAAACGGATGATAAGTCCTTTTTTTTAGAAAATGATCATGGGATGTAACTATTTGTTACTATTTGTTACTAATGATCATTGGATGGATGATGATTTCTTTCATTAAAACAACTAATGCAGCTTATCATTGAGTTGAGAACTGAGTTGGCATGACAAGAAGTAATCATTCTTATTGACTTATGATTCTTCAATGATTCGCTTTGAATTCTATCATCATCATGATTATGGACAAACACATTATTTCATGGGCAGATGAACATATAGTGAGATGTCATGGTAATATGCTGGGAGATAGTGGAATATACAGCCAGCAACATGATAGTTGCTTAGTTTTTGTGGATATTTTACCATCATTGACAGGTTTTTGACTGAATCAGCATCATCATTGATGCTATAATTCTTGGGCTTACTAGTGGTATCTTCTAGATAGTGGGGATCGTCATAATCCCGCTGGGTTTTTTCCTATGACAACCAACATTTTTTTGGGGTATTTTGGCACTGGGTAGGGTTTTACATCCACATTTGGTGGGTGTTTTTTTGGGAGTTTTTCGGTAGAACTTTTGGTCCATATTCCTGTTTTCCGGTAGCATTCAAATGTGTTTGTTTCCTCCTGAAGCTTCCATCTGTTTGTTGATTACTAAAAGTGATAGACTCACTTTGCCGACTTAATTGAGCCAGCATTGGATTACAGCAACCCCCCAAAAGATCGAAAACACCCACATTCCAACGACAAGAAGTACTGTACAGTACTGCGTTTTCTATGTTTTTTTTTGGGGGTCACTTCATTAAAACATGCCATGCCATCGAAAAAATCTTCAAGAAAAAAGCGTCGAAAAAATGGGACCCGGTCCGAATCGCAGATGGGACCTGCTCCGTCGACTTCTCTTTCCAGACCTGGCCTGGCTGGGACTCAACAGCGGCTTGCTCTGCGTCTACAACGCTCGGGAGCTCGGGGGGGGTTATTATAGGGTCGTTTCTGTTGGGAAGCTCAGGCGGTTAGTTAACGTTTGGGTTTATAGGGGATATCCTGTACAGTTACTATGTAGGTGTGAATGGGAAATCATCAAAGACAATTTTTCCAGCCATGTTTGATGAAAGCGGAGGATGGCCGACCAAAATTTATTTGATTTTAGTGATAAACACGGGGAATATAGCCAGAAACATGAGCACATCAGGCATTGAAGTGGGAAATATTGGAATGACCAAGCACTCGACATGACAGAAGTTTCGGACACCAGTTTTAATCAACATTTCAGATGTAGGAAGCAGACATGGCGCCCGTCATTTGTAATGCTACCCTCTGGTTGTGTCAAAATAGCTATAGAAAATCACGATCTTTAAGTTCGGTAAACCATCTATTTCTATGGGCCATATTGCATAGCTTTTTGTATGTTTACCAGAGGGTAAGTTTAGGTTAAGCCTTGGTCATTTACTGTAAAATGCACTTCACACTCATCATCATTTTGTCATCGCTGGTGAGTTTCACCACTTTTGTATCATAGGTCATCCATGATCATCCATGGAAAGTTGGACAATGATATGATGGTGACGTTAATAAGCCACGTTAATAAGCCATTAAAGTATGGGAGTATCCCTGGTAAGAAAGCCATTTTTTCCACATAAAGTTATCAAAAATGGGTTTCTCACCAGGGATGACAAAAATATGGGTTTCTCACTCACCATGGTGAATATGACAACCTAGAAAATGATGGGTATATAACCCACTATAACCCCTCTGGTTGAAAATGACCATAGAAATAGTGGATTCACCCATTATAGCATGGTGATTTACCCATAGTTATGTTAGTTTACCAGAGGGTAAAACTAGAGAAACTCTATGATTATCACCATCAGATCCACCATTCACAGCCCGAACTTCAAAAAGCCGGACAACTCAGATCCCAACGGTGGAAGTTGTCATCAGCTAAAACATTGTCAGATGATTATCCCAGTAATGATATATTTATCTATAATCTGATAATGGGATATGATATTTGTTATGATATATTAGTACCCAGTGTTGACTCATCTGATATGTGTCTAGAGTCTATATATATATATGTCTCATCTTCACCAAACCAGCAGACAATCCATTGATACCCTCTGGTAAACTAACGTAACTATGGAAAATCACCATTTTTAATGGGTACATCCACTATTTCTATGGCCATGGCTTCAATAGCAAACGGTTAAATTACCAGAGGGTAATCATTAGAATGACAATGAACAGTGATTGGTGAATGAACATGATCAAAAGATGGTTATCCCAATATCTTTCCAAACTTCTGTCAGATTGATCATCGCATGGTCTGGTGAAAGTTGTGAAATATTCGGCCATTATCACTATCCCATGATCTGTGAATTCACACTGGTTGATTTATCGTATATGATTGATATAGTTCTATCATTCAGCAATTAATTCACCCTATGATAACTAATAAGCTGTGTATTACCATGGTTTCCATATCAAATTTGTATTAACCATCATCTGTCATTTCACAACGGTTACCGGTTACCATATGTTCAGTTCTGGTCAGCTTTACTACAATATTTCAGCATACGTACCATGCCATGGTCAAACCTTGGATTGGATATGGTCATGAATCCATTTTTCATAGGTCATAGACATCATATCTCCATGGCTTTTGGATTGCCATGAAAGTTACCACTCAGTTACTAGTCCTACCAGGTGGGTTGACCGCTTGTTGAATGGGGCGAAGTCTCTATTAACCAAGCAGTGGGAAGAAAAGGACGTCTATGTCCACCGACTTAGCTAATCAATCAACTGGCTGTTTGACTCTTCCCAGGCGCAGCTAGCTACGGGCATCTTATCCCTGCCCCTGGCCACTCGTTGAAAACTGGCTTCACCAAGGTGTTGGTTGTGGCTTAAAAAATGGGCAGAAATGGGGCTTCAGTCATCCGAAATGGTGTTAAAAAAATCTTTTAACCAGGCTATTGGTCATTGAACAAATATCAATGAATATCAGTTTTCATATCACACAATAGGCTTCATGACATGTGACATGTGTCTCATGAATATGACACATTATCATAGAATATCAATGAAGCCACTTTCGTCGTTTCCCGGCTCCCCCAAGGTGATCATATGCAGTCAGTGATAGTCAGTGATAGTAATACAGTACCGGAAAAAGGATAGAAACTCGAGGAATCTACCACTATTCTTTCATGGTATTTTAAGCGGCGTTTTTTGTCTTTATATTGAGTCGCCGACATGGCGGGTGTCATCCTTATATTACATATTATTATATCAATTATATATATTATATTAATTATACATATATATATATATTATATCAATTATATTATATTATACTATATTATATTATATTATATTTTATTTTATTATATTATACTATTTTGTATTATATTATATTATATTATGTTATGTTATGTTATATTATATTATGTTATATTCTATTTATTATATATTATATTTTATTTATTATATATTATATATTATTTATTATATATTATATATTATATATTATATATTTTATATTATATATTATATATTATATATTATATATTATATATTATATATTATATATTATATATATTATATATATTATATATATTATATATATTATATATATTATATACATTATATATATTGTATATTATATATTATATATTACATATAATATATAATATATAATATATTATATATTATATATTATATATTATATATATTATATATTATATATTATATATTATGTATTATATATTATATATTATATATATTATATATTATATATTATATATTATCTATTATATATTATATATTATCTATTATATATTATATATTATATATTATATATTATATATATTATATTTTATATATTATCTATTATATATATTATATATTATATATTATATATTATATAATATATATTATATATTATATATTATACAATATATATTATATATTATATATTATATATTATATATTATATATATTATATATTATATATATAATATATTATATATTATATATTTTATATTATATATTATATATATTATATATTATATATTATATATTATATATTATATATATTATATATTATATATATTATACATTATATATTATATATTATATATTATATATTATATTATATTATATTTTATTATATTATATTTTATTATATATTCCATCAATTTTCTCTGGTTCAATCCAATATCGGAATTTTGCTGGGTTTGTATCCTCCAATGTATCCAGTTCTATCCCAGTTCTATCCCATTGTGACCAAAAATGGTTAATTCCCATGACATGTTGGTTATAGTCCCATATACCATATGGATGTGGGTCAAAATGGAAGACCTAGGGGACCACAGATGTTAGTCTAGTTTAGTATTAACCATCCAATTATTGGGGTACCTAATTTTGACCCATACCCATATTGTTCTTCATACTTCTGAAATGACATATTTTCTTGGTTAATTCCCATAAACTCAATTCCCATGGGTTTCGCATTTATAGTTGGTTAAAATCCATTGCAATGATGGTTGAATCCCAGCATGATTAACCATATGATCATGCTTATCATCTTTTTTGCGCCTTTAATCCCTATTGATCTTGTATTCCATCAGAAATCCCCATCAGAAATCCCCATAATATCCTCAATGTATCCCCATGACTGGCGAATGTTGGCGACTTCCCATAGGTGACAGTGACCATGCCTTCCTTCGCCTTGGGATTGCTGATTACCTTCAAAACTCAGAGCGGGCACCTCTGGCGCAGAACATCCAGTGGGTGCTGGTGAAAGAGGAGGTGAAGATGGATTGAATTTTACATACCCTCTGGTGAACTAACATAGCAATTGAAAATGGCCATTTATAGTGGATTTTCCCATTAAAAATGGTGATTTTCCATTGCTATGTTAGTTCACCAGAGGGTAAATATACCCGCTGGATCCCTCTGGTAAATTAACAGTTGGACCCTGATTTTCATCACCAATTTTGAGTGGAAACTAATCCAACCCTGAAAATCTGGCAGGGTTTATGTTAATTTACTGGTAAATCATATAAGTAAAATAAGTCTGTATTTCTGAGGACTTCTCCGTGTTTTTTTCGAAGTGGGTCATGACCAATCCTGGGGTAATCAAACATGACAATGGGAAATCACCATTTTAAATAGATGATATTCCCGATTTAGATGCCCAATTATATATTTTTTCCAGTATCATTTTGATTCCAGGAGGGTATATATTTATATGTTTGTATATATTTTTTTCCAGTGTCATTTTGATTCCAGGAGGGTATATATTTATATGTTTGGAGTATCACCAGTTTATTTTTATTTTTCAATGAGTTTTAAACCACTTACGATTCCTTTGATGCATATGCAAGCAGTGACCATGATTTGGGAAAACACATCCACAGTCCAACGATCAGTCATAATTTTCCCTTGAAAACATAAAACATAGACATTTTGTGAGATATCACACCTTTGGGCATCCTGAAAGGTATGAGCATATCATGTTGGTTTTTGATATTGCCCCTAGAGGAATAATTTAAAAAAATAGTGGGATAACATGGTAGTAACAATATATTGGATAGATGGGATACTTCGAGATAATTATATCCCATTCTATTCCCATAGGCTTGGTTAGTCATCACCATTAGACAGGGCATCCCTGTCTAAGAGTCTAAGGTATGAACGCTACATCGAAGCTCGGACCTTGTGGGAACATCTCCTGCGTGACCCTTGGCGGAGCGAGCAACGTGGCGTTGCTGATGAATTGGTGAGAAAACCCTCTGGTAAACGTACAAAAAACTATGGAAAATCACAATTTTTAATGGGAAAACTCACTATAAATGGCCATTTCCAATAGTTTTTTGTATGTTTACCAGAGGGTAAATCCGCAAAGAAATGTGAGTTTTGGTGGGTAAACACACGGATTAACCAGCAAACACCCGGATTTAACGCATCAAAGGTGATTCTCGCAGCGAAGGCATTTTTTTGGGGGGGGAAGAAGGCAACAATGATGGGGATTTGAATTGATTTAGCCTTTCGTCACTAGCAAACAGGCTGAATGATAGGGACAGGTGATTATTGTTTGTAGATTTTTGTG